TTACTCGAATCGTTGTTTCGATACCTATTTGGCATCGAAAGAAAAGTACTTTTATCGAATCGATTTGAGCAACAGCCATATCTTGTCGGCCATATTTTTTCTATGGAAAATAATCGAGCAGGTTCTGCAATTAACTTCCGAGCGAATTTCAACCCCTGCCAATTTGAATTCAAAGCGAGTTTGATTGAAATACTCTCGAAAGTGAATTGCAGAACCTACCTGAATTGCTTCATTTTTATGAAAAATAATTGCTTAAAGCAATGGCACCGCCAAAATCTAAAGTATGGATATATTTTTACCAAGTTAAGCTGAAATTAGTCAAGAACGTAAACCTACCGGTACGTAAACCCGAGTCAGCTGACACGATCTGTCTTCAGTGTTGCCAGAGGAAGTGGTCGAAAAATATTCATTTTTGTCAAAAAAAAATCTTCATTTGAAGATTTTAATGAAAACAAAATCTTCTTCACAGCCAAAAATCTTCACTTCCCATGAACCCATGAAAATGAAATGATATTGGTATATTTTCAAGTTTTTATAATTTAAATCGTATACTTATCAGACACAAATGTATAAACGTATGTATGGATTTCATATGTACTAATGTATGCATATATAAAAATAAAAGAGCTAAACTAGCTAGATTGTTACGTGTTTAAATTAGTTTCCATACTGTAAAAATAAACAATATATTAAAAAAAAAGAAAACGACCGACTTATGCATACATATTCACGTAGAAAATGACTTAATCTATCAATTAGAGTATATGTCGTTTTTAATATATGAAAGCAAATTAATATCAAATGGCATATTGTGGCAATTGATCTGGTTTCTTTTTAAATAATCTTTTGTATATAAAATTCCGTTTAATGTTTCCACATCTAGTTTGTTTCTAATCGATGTTTTGTTTAAATTGACTTGGGAAAATATTCTCTCGACGTTAGCCGTTGATACAGGTACTGTTAAAACAGACCAAATTAATTTTTGTAATAATGGAAAGGAAGGCGAGTCATCCATTCTTTTTAAATTTAAAATTACTTTCCAGAATGTCTCTATATCTGTCGCTTCAGATAAGTCACGATTTTTGAAATCAAAAGTTCGTAGTTCTCTCCATTCAGAATCTAAATCTTGAATGTTATTCACTTTGAGAGTTGGAAAGTGTTGAAATATACTTATAATTGACGAATGCTTTTTACTTATAACATTTTTAGGAGACAACATTTCCACTCCTTTCAAGGTTTTATCAGTGAAATCGAATCGGCAAAGCATCTCATTACACAAAACCACATAAAAATTTAACGCATTATGTGAGAATTCTAATTTTTGTGCTGAGCTCAAATCGTTAAATAACAATTCTGTGTCAGCTCCAAAATATAATTCATTTACTGGCTTTATATATCCCGAGTTATTATATAAACGCCGCAGAGATAGTAAGTCAATATTTTCAATATATATAAAAGAATCTAAGAATTTCATAGAGATTATTTAGTTCTTCGTTAAGACAATGAATTTTCGGTGACTCACTTTGGAATAATTTGTTAAGTTTATTGATTTCCTTCAAAATGTACTTAAGAAACGTCAAGTATACTTTAAATAATGGTTTGCGTAAATTCTCAAGAATTCTTAAAGTTGCCTGAAATTTTTCAACTTCCTCGTGAAGGCAAAAAAGTTGAATTATATCTAACTGATCGAGTACTCTTACGACTGCTGCTTCTAAAGAGAGCCTACGGGTTTGATTCGGATGCAGCAATTTTAGAGGTTTTAAGTCAAAAAGCTCTTGCAAAGATGAAAATATATGTATTCGTTTTGGACTGTTAGCTATGAAATTGTAAATATCCCTAACCGTACTTTCTACCTCTAAAGGTAGCTGTGCACATGCTTTACTTGAACATAAGGCTAAAGAATGGCAGGTGCATTTCATAACAAACAGATGTGGGCAATCTTTTTTTAATAATGTGGCGACTGAGTGTTTTCCACCAGTCATCACACTAGCCCCGTCAGCAGCAAAGCCTAATAACCATTTCTTATAGTCAACATTATTTTCATTAAAAAATTTAACTATTGAGTCATATATACTTTCCGCGTTGGCTTTAGTGATTTTCAAACATGTCAGAAAAAAATCTTGTACATTACCATTTTCTTCAATTTTCACAACTAAGCACAATAATTTTGAGGTCGATATGTCCGTAGACTCATCTGCGCACAAAGAAAAATGTTTACAACGCATATTTTGCAGAAGGTGGTCCAGCTGTGATTTCCCCAGTACATTTTTTATTAAAGCTGTTGTTTTTGTACGCCGACAAGCGAAGTTTTGTGCCGCTTTCGACTCTAAAAATGTGTTATTTATAAGAGGTGAAAGATGATCCATGCTGGTGAAGGCTATATTATGCTCTGCACAAAAAGCCGCAACTTTTATTTCAGCAAAAAACGTTGCTCGCGGAATGCCTTCTATAATTTCTTTGCTTCCCTTGTGTATATTAACTGCATTTGAATTTTCAATATGTTTGGTGGTCTTTGCATGCGCAGTTAAATCCTTTTTTCCTCCAGATGCTTTAAGATCGACGCCACATACTTTACAACGCGGTAAGCCGTGCGCTCCTGTTATTAACCACTTCTTAAATTCTTCATCATCTCCCCAATGTGCGTTAAAAGATCTCCTCTTTGTTTTAGATCGCTTTATAAACAAAACTACAGTCAACAAAGCGTATTTTTTCTTTTTATGAAAAATCTACCTCTACGTATTCCTCAGCGGCAGCGTCTCGTTCAATCCCTCCTTCGGTATTTGCAGAAGTTTCTTCTAAAATAGGAAATCACATTCACAATATATTCATAATACTTTCATTGAGTATATACACTACTAAATATAACAGGTAAACTTGCTAAACATAATTACCTTTTCTTTTCCTCGTGATTGTTATAAACTTTTCCATTTCTTAGTGTTCGTTATTCAAACATGTGATGGCAACCCTGAAAGGAAAAGACGTAAATTTTGTATGCTCTTGCGAAAATTTTGTTAATTTATTAAATAAATTGTTTTTCCGAAAGTATCTTGCTTAAAAACGAGTGTATTAATTGAAGATAAGCACGGGTACAAGGAAGTAATCGATATAATTGGTGAGGAAGGATGGAAGCAAGATGTGACAGGTGCAGAGGCACCATTCGGACAGAAGTGGCGAAAATCCGTTGTCAAGGTGTGTGTGGGAAATATTTCCATCTAACAAACAAATGCGCTGGCGTGGACCAATACAGCATAGATAAATTGAGTGAGGTTCCAAAGCTTAGGTTTATGTGCGATGATTGTTTGCAGTACATAAATAACATTGATGACATACTTAAAGACATGCAAATGGTTGTGAAGCAAAATGGCCAAAAGCTAGCTGAATATAGAAACGAGTTCGATAATTCTCTGAAGAAAAATGAAGACGAAATTAAGCTAGTACTGAAGGCGGTAGAAACAGCATTTGCTGAAAGAATCAAGGCAATGAAAAAAGCTCAAGAAACATGTGAGAAAAGTGTTAAAGAAGTAAATAAACTCCAAGATATAGCTGATTTTATAAAACAAAATAGCGAGCAGGTACGTAAGGAGATTGAAAACAACAAAGAAGATAACAAGAAAATGGTTGAAGCAATAACTAAAGTAAATGAGAAAATGTGTGCAGAAATAAAGAAAAATACAAATGTGGATGCCAGAGTTTCATATGCCAACGCAGCAAAAAGTGCCAAATCAAAAAAAGAAGAGTTGCCAGAGCTAAGAAATGTTGTTCCTCTAATAATTAAGCCAAGTACCAAACAGGAAGTTGAAAAAACTAAAAAGGATCTTAACTCAAAAGTTGATCCCAAAGAGTTACAAATTATGAACATAGTGGGTGGACAAGATGGAGTGGTAATCGTAGAAAGTGCAAATAATGCAGAGAGAGAAAAAATAAGAAATGCAATTGAAAATAATATTGGAAATAATTATGAGGTGAGGATCCCTAAAAAAATTAACCCATCTGTTCTGATAACCGGAATAAGTTACAAATATGAGATTGAGGAGCTTGCTCAAAGAATTAAAAGCCAAAATAATTGCTTGAGCCAAACCGACATAAAAATTACACAGTTATACCAAGTAAATAAAAATGGAAATACTTACTATAATGCAGTTCTAGAATTGGATGTCAAAGTGTTTGCGAAGATATTAGCTGAGGAAAGGCATAATGTAGGATGGGAACGATGCAAAGTATACGATGCAGTGCAGGTTTTGCGTTGTTTTAAGTGTAAAGGCTTCAATCATAAAGCTAAAGACTGTGGAGCAACGGAAGTGTGCACTAAATGTCATGGTGCACATATTTCCAAAGAATGCAATGTGACAGCGATTAATAAATGTATCAACTGCATTAGAGCAAACAAAGATCTGAATATGGGACTAGATATAAACCACGATACTATGGACAGATTGTGCCCTGTATATCAGCAGAAGCTGAATGTAAGGAAAAAACATATGGGATACTAGCAACAAACCAAATATAGTGTGACTATGTCACGGAAAACTAAAGCGTATACTACACGCAATAAGAAAGGCTGTATCCTGCAGTGCATATATCTTAATATTAATAGTATTGTATCAAATAAAGTGGAACTCGAACGTCTTATCGAAGTTAAAAAACCAGCCTTAGTAGTGTGCTCCGAAACTTGTACAACAGATAATATAATGGACTCCGAGTTAAATATCTCTACATATAAATTAATCCGTTGTGATTCACACAGTAGGCACACGGGTGGTGTGTTATTTTATATACATGAACAAGTAGAATTTAACATTGTGTGCAATAAGTCTTTCGACATGAATATGTGGTGTATTATTATAAAAATTAAAAAATGCGCACTTAAGTGGCAATTTGGAGTAATCTATCACTCACCTAGTAGCAGCGATGCAGATTTTGTTAAATATTTAAATGAGATCGTCACGGAGCACCTTAAAGATTCGGATAATAATCTAATTATTGGCGACTTTAATATAAACATGAATATACCATCCACGTACTCTAACCAACTTACAGGTGTGTTTGCACAAATGGCCATGATACAAAGAATTGATTTTAACACGAGAGTAACGGAGCACTCAGCTACAAAAATCGACCTACTATTTGCCAATAATGACCAAATCAAAATTGAATGTGCTAGCGAATATAAAATATCTGATCATGAGACAATCTGCTTTCAAATACCCACTACAAAATATTGCAGAATGAGAAAATATGCTAATGCCGTCTGTTGGGAGAACTACAGCGCGGAGAACCTGATAAATCTGCTGCGGATATGTGATATAAGTTCTATATCTAATATAGTAATAGAAAATAGGGTTCAGGCTTTGAATGATATCTTGTCTGAAGCCATGCAAACATTGACATACGAGAAGAGGATCAATATACAATTGCGAAATAAGTGGTACGATCGTGAACTAACAGTACTACATAATAGAAAATTTGAATTATATAAAAATGCGATTAGCTCAGGTCATTGGGATGATTATAATGCCGTTAAAAAATTATATAAAAAAACTATAATACTTAAAAAGAAGAAATACATGGAAGATCAAGTGATTATTAATAAAGGGAATATGAAATCCATGTGGAAATGTTTGAAAGATGCGGTGGAACTTGCAGACAATAAAGAGCATATTAAAAAAATTGTATTTAACGGTGAATGTCTAGAAAATAGCAACGATATAGCTAATGTCTTAAATTGTTATTTTGTTCAGAGCATAATCCAAATCAATGATAGTATTGAAACAATTGAACCTGTTGATGAAAGTGAAACAACCAACTCGATAGCAACATTTGAGCCCACCAGTATTGAGTTAGAAGATATAATGAACATCACAAAATCATTTAAAAACAAATATGGCGGTAAAAATCTATTGTCAGAGGGTGTTATCAAGGACTCTATGATGTACATTGCTCACGTATATAAGGACATTATAAACGAATCGTTTGATAGTGGCATTGTCCCGAGCTGCTGGAAGATATCCACAATAATACCAGTGGCAAAAGTGAAAAATACAATGAAACCTGACGAGCTGCGCCCAATTAATACCCTACCCATTGACGAAAAAATTATGGAAACAGTGGTGAAAAAACAACTAGTAACCTACCTAGACAATCATAATATAATCATACCAGAACAATCAGGCTTCAGGAAAAGCCACTCCTGCGAAACAGCATTGAACATGGTAATTGCAGAGTGGAAAGGGGCTGTTGCTGATAAAAAGGTAGTAGTATCTTGCTTCTTAGACTTAAAGAGGGCGTTTGAAACAATCGATCGAAATGAATTGCTAAAGATAATGGATAAAATAGGGATTAAGGGAAAAGCTTTGGAATGGTTTCATAGTTACCTGAGTAACAGAAAGCAGAGGACGGTAATTGGAGACGCAGTTTCATCGGTTGTTGATGTTAACATTGGGCTGCCGCAAGGCTCAGTACTTGCTCCGATATTGTTTATAATTTATATCAATGATATAAAAACTTGTTTGAGACATTGTAAAATAAGTCTTTTCGCGGATGATGCTTTAGTTAGCATTAGCGACAAAAATGTAGATTGTGCTGTTTTGAAAATACAAGAAGACTTAAATAACACTGGTCGACGGCCAAAATTTACCAGAGACGCCGTTATGAAATTGGTATGTAAAATCACCCCCTGATTCCGAAAATCAAGGTTATTTCTAATTTTATGGTACCGTTTTTGAGATATTTGCAATTTACCGTTTTTGCAAAAAAAAAAAAATTGGGTTCACTTAATCATATATATCTCAAGAACGAATTAAGCAATTCCAAAACGGTTTGAAGCTTTTAAAAGGTAATAAAATTTTCTATAAGCTGTGCATACAACACTTTTGCTAGGCCCTGTAGATTCAAAGATAACGAACAATCATTACCGATTTTTTCAATTTTTTTTGTAAAAATATAAAAAAAATTGTACTTTGCGGGGAAGGATCTCGAAAACCTTTTATTTTTTTGCAGATTTTTTTTCTCCCTAAGCTCTGTTATATTACAAAAAAAATAAGGTATCATCGAAGAAAATCGATGCAAAACTACGTAAGTTATAAGCGATCAAATAAAAATACCCAGGTTGCGCAATTTCAACGTATACCTCAAAACGTATGTATGGTATAAAGAAGAGTGAAATATCTAGCTATGCTGTTTCTATTGAGTTAAAAGTTCAATTTATGAATGAAATTACCCATATTTTTAACTTTTTTTTTAAATTTATTTATGTTTATACTATATTCTAACAATCTTTATCTTAATTTGATTTTACTATGTTGTCGAAATAATTATGTGTTCTACTTTGACGCTTATTCAGTTTAGGATCGGTTTCTCTTATGAGAAACCAGCAGTAATCACCCATCATTGCGACGTCCCAGAATCCTTGATATCGATTCTCAATTAATTTCATTTGCTGATGAAACCTTTCGCCATGTTCATCACTTTCGTCGCCAAGATTTGCCGGAAAAAAGCTCAAATGTGAGTGGAGAAAGTGAATTTTTAAAGACATATTTACGCCCATTTTCGCATAATTATTGATTAGGTCGTTCACTATCTGCTCGTAGTAAGGGCTTTTGTGTCTACCGAGAAAAGAAGCAACGACCTTTTCAAAGGATTCCCACGCTGCTGCCTCAACTGATGAGAGTAGTCCTTTGAATTGATTATTGTTGATCAACTTTCTTATTTGTGGTCCAACAAAAATACCTTCCTTTATCTTGGCTTGAGAAATATCTGGAAAAACTGTTTTCAAATAGTCGAATGCTTCGCCTTCTTTGTCCAAAGCCTTAACAAAGTTTTTAATGAGACCGAGCTTGATGTGTAAGGGTGGAAGTATGATTTTCTCTTTCTTGACAAGAGGGGTGTATTTGATGTTATCCACACCAACGGTAAACTCGACTCTTTCCGGCCAATCCTTTCTGACGTAGTGGTCCTTACGAGCTCGGCTA